CTGAAACAGATGCTTAAAAGGGAAGCATGCCAAAGGCAGAGAATTGGTATGTACACAAAGACAAATTGTTTGAACTGTAAAGAAACAATTGTTTTGAAATATAAAATAAAATAAAGAAAAAAAAAAGAAAACAGGAGCTCTTGAAGCTATCATTTGGGGTCCCATGGGTGCAAGACTAGTAAGGCAGCCTTTTTGGATAGGTTACACCAATGATACCAGAATTGATCTTTTGTGCTTGCAACCCAGTTTTAATCCGTGCTTACACATGAAAAGTACAAACAACTAAACTAGCTTTCATCATTTCTTTAACACATATTCATTTGTTTACTAATTCAGTGCAACAACACTTTCTCCTTCTTTCTTTCCTTTGAGAGGTGTTCCAGTTGTTTGCATGACAAGATATCTACAGGAAAATACATTTAGTAATGAATTCAGACTATACATTAAAAACAATTCCTAATGAAAATCCAGTAAAAACAGTAATTAACCATTTGCCAAGGCTCACTAAACATCATAACAAATCGTTACTAGTAAAACCAGTAATACATACCTCCTTTAAGTCACCAACATTCTTTTACAGATGTGGGAACCTGATGCCAGAAGTCATGAGGCACTTCAAGAGCCGCAAGATTTCTTCAAATTCAACTTTTTATTCAAAGCCACTGGCATGTATCCATTCGTCTTGGGGTTGAAACTTTTTGCAGCAATTTTTCGTCTAGACCTCTCTTGCATGCCATCTACACAAGGTTTTTGTTACATGGTACGGTCAATTTGCCTCGATCTGAGAAAGCTTCCTTCATGACAACTTTCATCTCTTAGAAACAGGGCTTCTCCTGTGACAACTTTGAGGAATGAGTCCCTAAAATTCAAGTCTCTCTAAGTTTTGAAGTCTTTATCTTCACTGGCTTTCTTTAAGTGTAATGCATGTAGCAATTGAATGATTGAAATGTATTCTTGCTTGCTTCCCTAAGAATATTTGCACAGCATTTTTCTGAAGGAGCTAGTAGTTCATGAATAAGTTTTCTAGTCTCAAGAGAAATCAAAACTTTATTCCTTTACAGCAGGTGATGTGATCTTTGTTTCCGTTATAAATTCATGCATCAAATTAAATCTGTTCAGGACGATTGAAGAATGGATGGCATGCACATAATCTGCACCATAATGATGCTCTTAAATGAATTAAACCACAGATTTCTGGTACAAAGTGTGGCACTAAAATTCCCTTTCTTTTCTTTGTCTTCTTTGGAATTTTCTTAGATAATTCAGTTTTCTTGGTATGTGTTTTGATTCTAATAAGGGCGATTCTATCCTTGATTTCAAGGCCACCTTTCAGGAAGTATTTTCATAGGACTACTATCCTTTTTACCCTGGGAAATGTATTACAGGTATTTAATTCATCAAAAATCTGTGACACATAATTACATTTGGTCAGAGGGTTATCCCATAAAGTGGATAAATTAGGCATCCTTCATATTTTGTACTTACAAAGTTTGTACTTTGATGTGGGAACCTCATCATCACTGGTTTGATTGAGTCCAAGGAATAATCTCATTCAATATGCCAAGTCAATGATTTCTGAAAAATCAAGTGGTACAACAAACGCCATCCCATTAGATCTTCAGGGTCAAAGTTATTAAATTTTCTTCAACTCATGAGACTTTCAAAAGACAAAGCCTATGAAACTTCTAATTTGTCAAAAAACTAGGTCTAATTCTGTCAGTGGACCAACTCCTAAATTTACCATCACATACCCCCATTTGAGAAGAACAATGGAAAAGGGCGCATACTAAACTGCGTTGCAGATTGAAACCAATCTTATCATACATGCAGAAAGAATTCAATGTTACACTCTAGATTGTCTGACCAAAAGGCTTAATGTCAATAGCATAGAGACAGTATGTCTCATGCACATTTGAAATGGGTAACACAAATCCTTGCATAAACCGCTTTCCTCTGTGCAGCCACTGATGTGCCCTCTGGAACAGTTCTTCAGGGTGGGAGGTTCAACATCCTTCTACTAAGCTATCTCAGCTTTCCTTTGGTCGTAAGTTGGAATCTAACTCTCCCATCTAGCAATTTGATACAAAGTGCAGGCAGCAGATTTCTGCAGATCTTTTGTTTGCCTCATCCACTACAGTATACCATGTCCTTCAGAGGTGCAATGATTGGAAGTCTGATCCAACAGTTACATCCCTTTCTTGAACTCTTCAACTATCCTCTGGTAATTATCTGTGAACTTATCAGAGGGCAATTTTCCACAATACAAATAACAAGTTGTATGGCTGAGTTGCTTGCACTTTGGTCCTACATGTCCATATGGTTCATAGGGCTTTATGTATTATCTTCTGCAAAATGCTTCTTGTCACCTCGTCTGTTGGCAAATTTCGACCATGGCACAGAGTATTGAAGTGAGGCCTCAATTTCCTGTATACTCCAAGCATTACAGCATTTCACTGACTCTTGCTTTCTACCATCAAAAGATAAACAGATTGTTAAGCAAGAGACCTCCCCCGGATGGCACATATGCACGAGAAGTCTGGGGGTGCAAAAGCGAAAACCAAAACATGCACTTCCTAATATAACTCTTCTTCTTAAAACACTTGTTGATAACCCCCCCCCCCCCCCCACAAGTTAGTTCCCGTTTTCTGAACTTTCTAGTGTTCCTTCTGTTTACGGAGTTCCAATTTGAAAGACGTAATCGATGCCTGGACGTGAATGCATCTACAACTAGGAGGGTCGACAAAAAACGAATACTGGGTTCTGTTGCTGCAATCTCTAAAAGGAAGGTCATAGAGAAATTTGGCAGTGTTCTTCTCTACACAAAAATCAAGCCAAAATCTTATTGCACTTACTAAAGATTTCAGGAGCTTGCACTTTGAATGTGATATGCTCCAGAGATTGCCATTACATTTTTCCTTAGCTCACAGGCAACATATACTCTCCAGACTCTCTTTCACAACTTAATATCTCTTGACTTTTGGCGTCTTCCTCCATTCCTTCAGTTCATCAAGGTGATCAATTCATAATTATAGCTCGAGCAAACACACAGTCACCAAGGTCAGACATTATGTGTCAATGTTCTTGATTTTTTCGATTTGTTTCTGGCTTGTCAATTTAGAAACAATCTGTTATGGATCATATTACAAGACCTGAAGCTGAGCTTTAAAGTTTCTGGAGTCCAGATGTATGATCTCTGGTGTAAACAAATCACTTTTCCTCGCCGTGGATATTTCAGAACAGTTACTGGATCAGTAGAGGGTCACCAAGGCACAATCCATAGCTGCTCCAGGACTCCCATGTACTTCAACACACTTTCCTCTTACATTTGCGGTGAACCACACAAGCTGCAAACCCATTATTTCTGGGAGGCTGTCTGGGAGTGCGCTTAAATCTCAAGCTCTAATGACTCACGCATTGGATGACTGACTGTTGCGTGTTGGCACTCAGCTAAATCAGGAGGTCGACTGAGAACGTGGCAACCTCGCATGTAAGATAAAATCTAAAAAGATTGAGCCACAACCCACCAAAACTTCAGGTCTCCAGTCCATTCTGCCACTGAAATAATCAAAAGTAGCCATTAAAATAGTAAAAATACATATAAATCTAAAAACTACTGCTACTGAAGAAACACTTTCAAAAATACATGACAGTCCATATATACACTATATCAGTAGAGAAAATTGGCAAGTCTAACTACATACCCTACATTACCTACACCCACTACAGGAAACAAGTGGACAGTGCCCTCCCCCCAAAAAGCCTCCTAGTAATATCAGACTATGAAACATGCGCTAACATAGTGGGTGAGAGAAAGCCTTAACAGCTTCAAAGATCTGTATTAACAAGCACTAATTCAGACTTATCCTCACACTGTTCTAGGCCTAATGGGGACAGAAGTATATTCACATCATATGGAGGCCTCTCCTAGTAGCAAGAGTGTAATTAGAGTTACTCTCCTTATAAAAGAGAGATTTTTGGAATGTGTGGCCCTCACCCACCCTGAAAAAACTTCCTTACATGTTGAACCTCCACACTGTGCAAGACCATTTTTTGGTGAAATTCAACAGTTTTAAAGCTCTAAGAAGAAGCATTCTATGAGTTTACAATGTATGAATGCACAAGGAGTATGGCCCGGGGTACACTGCTTGTTTGAGTAACACAAGATAACACTTAACCATTCGCGCCGGGCGTCAGATACATGACGGCACGTGGAGTTACTTGTGAATGTTTACAAACAAGATGGCTCCCACTTGCACTTGTACTGCGGCTCGTTTGTTTACCATTTTCTTTACATTTACGAACTTATTTTGCTTATCTATTTTGCGTTATAATGTTTATAATTTATTGTATAGTATTATAATGTTTTTAATAAAAAAAACATTCGATATCATAGCACATGTAAAAATACATTTTCCCGCCAAATGAAACAGGTAAAGCAGAAGCCATCTAGTGTAGAGAAATTTCATTAAAAAAATATAAAAATTGAGACAGCATTTCCCCATTTTTGTTCATTACGCGCGAATGGGTTATAGTACAATACCATTATCATCTTCAACACTGAATACTGCAATATACAGTGCAAAAAAGAATTTTAATTTCGGATCTTCCATTTTAATAACTAGAGGTCCTGGTTGTGTGCTCTCAGTTGAGGCAATTTTTATGCCAGGACACAGTTCATATCAAAGTGTCATATGAGTTCTTGATTGATCTGTATATGTGTATATAAGTGTAAATATACAAATATGTAGTAAATCTATGAATATATACGTATATATAATATAATACATGTATAAATAATAGTATATCTACATATATATCTATATACGTCGTAAAAATATTATGCATAATATGTAGTTCTACATATATATGAAATAGATAACATATAATAATGGTAAATACATGTATCAAATGTGTAAATATAGTATAAATATATATATATATATGTATATGTATACATATATATAGTAACATATAGATATGTATAGCATATATAAAATACATATAGATATATCAAATATAGATAAAACACACACACACACACACACACACACACACACACACACACACACACACACACACACACACACACACACACATCTTATTTTTTTTTGCATTTTTACATACTATGTATATATATATATAAATATATATATTATATATATATATAGATATATATATAATATATAATATATATGTAATAAATATATGTATAAATGATATGTATATAATATATGTACTATAATATATATAATATAATATTATATATATATATAGAGAATTATATATAATATTATATATATTATAATATATATATATGTATATAATATATAGATGTATTAATATATATAGCGTATATAAATATATATATATATACATAATCTATATATATGTATTTATATAAATATATGTAATATTATATATATGCATATATATATATAAGCTATATATATATACGTATATATATATATATAGATAGTATTCTATATATAATAGAGTGCATAATATCAATTATATCTATATCATATTCATATTATAGCATTCTATAGATATATAATATAAGATATATAGCATATATATCTATATATATATCGATACTAATATATAATAATATAATATATATTATATATATGCATAATCTACTATATATATCTATCTATAATATATTAGGATATGGTAGAAAAACCCACAAGTAAAAACTAGATTTATGAAAATTGAAAGTGAGACGACGTTTCGGAATCCACTGGATTCCATCCTCAGGTACCTGAGGAGGAAATCCAGGTGGATTCCGAAACTGTCTCACTTCAGTTTCAATAAATCTAGTTTTTAACATTGTGGGCTTTTCTACCATAATAGATCAACACAGAGAGGGTTTTCCTCATTCATATATATATATATATATAATATTATATATATATATATATATATATATATATATTATATATATAATATATATATATATATATATATATATTTATATATATATTTATATATATATATATATATATATATATATATATATATATATATATATATATATATATGAATGAGGAAAACACTCTACTGTGTTGATATTATGGTAGAAAAGCCCACAATGTAAAAACTAGATTTATTGAAAATGAAAGTGAGACAGTTTCGGAATCCACCTGGATTCCATCCTCAGGTCAGACCTGAGGATGGAATCCAGGTGGATTCCGAAACTGTCGTCTCACTTTCATTTTCAATAAATCTAGTTTTTACATTGTGGGTTTTTCTACCATATATATATATATATATAGATAGATAGATATAGATAGATATGCATATATATATATATATATATATATATATATATATATATATAGATATAGATATAGATATATATGCATATATATATATATATATATATATATATATAGATATAGATATAGATATAGATATAGATATAGATATAGATATAGATATATATGCATCTCTATATATATATATATATATATATATATATATATATATATATATATATATATATATATATATGCATATATATATATACATATAATTTATATATATACATTATATATATATTATGTATATATATATATATTATATACATCTATATATATTATATACATATATATATTATATACATATATATATATATATATATATATATATATATATATATATATATATATATATATATATATATATATATATATATATATTATATACATATATTATATACATATATTATATACATATATTATATACATATATATATATATATATATATATATATATATATATATATATATATATATATATATATATATATACATATGTATATATGCATATATGTGTGTGTGTGTGTGTGTGTGTGGTGTGTGTGTGTGTGTGTGTGTGTGTGTGTGTGTGTGTGTGTGTGTTTGTTTATCTATATGTTGATATATCTATATGTATTATATATGCATATACATATCTATATGTATACATATATATATGTATACATATACATATATATATATATATTTATACATATATTTACACATTTTTATACATGTATTTACATATATATGTATATCTATTCATATATATGTAGAAATACATATATATGCATATATATGTATATATACACATATATAGATATATATGTAGATATACATATATATGTATACATGTATATATATTATATATACGTATATATTCATAGATATACATACATATTTGTATATATACACTTATATACACATATACAGACAACCAAGAAGAATGTCATATGACACTTTGATATAACTGTGTCATGCATAAAGAATTGCATCAACTGGAAGAGCACACAACAGGACCTCTAGTTATTAAAATGGAAGAATACCGGAAATTAAAATTCTTTTTTGCACTGTATATTGCATTATTCAGTGTTGAAGATGATAATGGTATTGTACTAATTAACCCATTCGCGCCGGGTAAAAATGAACAAAAAATGGGGAAAATGCTGTGCTCAATTTTTATATTTTTTAATGAAATTTCTCTACACTAGATGGCTCTGCTTTACCTGATTTCATTTGGCGGGAAAATGTATTTTTACTAGTGCTATGAATATCGATGGTTATTTTTATTAAAAACATTATAATACTATACAATAATGTTATAAACATTAGTAACAGCAAAATAAGATAACGCAAAATAATTTCGTAAATTAAAGAAAATGGTAAACAAACGAGACAGGCAGTACAAGTGCAAGTGGAGCCATCTATGTTTGTAAACATTCAAACAAGTAAACTCACAGTGGGCCCGTCATGTATACGTGACGCCCGGCGCGAATGGGTTAAGTGTTATACTTGTGTTACTCAAACAAAGCAGTGGACCCCTGGCCAATACTCCTTGTGACATTCATACATTGTAAGACTAATAGAATGCTTCTTCTTAGAGCTTTAAAAATGTTGAATTGCACCAAAAAAATGGTCCTTGCACAGTGTGGAGGTTCAACAGTGTAAGGGAAGTACTTTTTCATGGTGGGGAGGGCACACACATTCCAAAAATGCTCTCTTTTTATAAGGAGAGTAAAATCTAATTACACTCTTGCTACTAGGAGAGGCCTCCATATGATGTGAATACTTCTGTCCCCATTAGGCCTAGAACAGTGTGAGGATTAAGTCTGAATTGCTTGTAATAACAGATCTTTGAAGCTGTTAAGGCTTTCTCTCACCCACTATGTTATCATGCAATGTTCATAGTTCTGATATTACTGGAGGCTTTTTGGGGGGAGGGCACTGTCCACTTGTTTCCATGTGAGTGGGTGTAGGGTATGTAGGGTATGTAGTTAGACTTGCCAATTTCTCTACTGAAATATAGGTGTATATATATGACTGTCATGTATTTTTGAAAGTGTTTCTTCAAGAATAGACAGTAGTTATTTAGATTTAGATGTATTTTACATATTTTTAATGGCTATTTTGATTATTTCAGTGGCAGAATGAACTGGAGACACATGAAGTTTTGGTGGTTGTGGCTCAGATCTTTTTAGATTTGATCTTACATGCGAGGTTGCCACTTTCATCAGTCAACCTCCTGATTATAGATGAGTGCCATCACGCAACAGGCAGTCATCCAATGCGTGAGATCATGAGAGCATATGAGAATTTAAAGCAGCACTCCCCAGACAGGCTTCCCAGAATAATGGGTTTGACAGCTTGTGTGGTTCACCGCAAATGTAAGAGGAAAGATGTTTTGAAGTACATGGAGAGTCTGGAAGCAGCTATGGATTGTGCCTTGGTGACCTCTACTGATCCAGTAACTGTTCTGAAATATACCACAGGGCCTAAGGAAAAAGTGATTTGTTACCACACAGAGATCATTACATCTGACTACCAAGAAACGGTTAAAGCTCAGCTTGCAGGTCTTGAATATGATATCATAACAGATTGTTTCATAAATGACAAAGCAAGAAAACAAATCAAGAAAAAAATCAAGAACATTGAACACATAATGTCTGACCTTGGTGACTGGTGTGTTGCTCGAGCTATAAAGTATGAAATTGAGCACCTTGATGAAACTGAAGGAATGGAGGAAGACCCAAAAGTCAGAGAGATATTGAAGTTGCTGAAAGAGAGGCTGAGAGAGGTATATGTTGCCTGTGAGCTAAAGGAAAAATGTATGGCCAATCCTCTGGAGCATATCACATTCAAAGTGAAAAGGCTCCTAGAAATCTTTAGTAAGTGCAATAAAGAAGTATTTGGCTTGATTTTTGTGGAGAGAAGAAACACTGCCAAAATTCTCTATGACCTCCTTTTAGAGATTGCACAACAGAACCCAGTATTCAGTTTTGTCAGACCCTCCTATGTTGTAGGATGCAATTCACGTCCAGGCATCGATATACGTCTTGCAGAATTGGAACTCCGTAAACAGAAGGAAACACTAGAAAAGTTCAGAAACGGGGAAACTAACTTTTTGATATCAACAAGTGTTTTAGAAGAAGGAGTTGATATTAGGAAGTGCAATGTGGTGGTTCGCTTTGACACCCCACAGAATTATCGTGCATATGTGCAATCCAGGGGGAGGGCTCGTGCTAAACCATCTGTTTATCTGTTGATGGTAGAAGAAGCAAGAGTCAGTGAAATGCTGGAATGCATTGGAGTATACAGGGAAATTGAGGCCTCACTTCAATACTTGTGCCATGGTCGAAATTTGCCAACAGCAGAGGTGACAAGAAAGCATTTTGCAGAAGATGAATACATAAAGCCCTATGAACCATATGGACATGTAGGACCAAAGATTACAAGCAACTCAGCCATACAACTTGTTAATTTGTATTGTGGAAAATTGCCCTCTGATAAGTTCACAGATAATTTACCAGAGATAGTTGAAGAGGTCAAAGAAGGGATTGTAACTGTTGGGATCAGACTTCCAATCATGGCACCTCTGAAGGACATGGTATATGGTAGTGGATGGGCAAACAAAGATCTAGCAAAGAAATCTGCTGCCCTGCAACTTTGTATCAAATTGCATGAGATGGGAGAGTTAGATTCCAACTTACGACCAAAGGAAAGCAATGACGATAGCTTAGTAGAAGGATTGGTTGACCTCCCACCTGAAGAACCTGTTCCAGAAGGCACATCAGAGTCTGGCACCAAGAAGAGAAAGCGGGTTTATGCCAAGGATTTGTGTTACCCATTTTCAAATGTGCATGGAAGAACATACTGTCTCTATTCTATTGACATTAAACCTTTTGGTCAGACAGATCAGAGTGTAACCATTGATTCTTCTGCATGTATTAATAAGATTGGTTTCATCTGCAAAGAAGGTTTAGTATGCAGCCCCTTTCCATTGTTCTTCTCAAAATGGGGGGATGTGATGGTAAATGTTAAGGAAGTTGGTCCACTGACAGACTTAGACACTAGTTTATTTGACAAAATTAAGAAGTTTCATAGGCTTGTCTTTGAAAGTCTCATAGAGTTGAAGGAAAATTTAATAAACTTTGACCCTGAAGAATCTAAATGGGATGCGTTTGTTGTACCACTTGATTTTTCAGAAATCATTGACTTGGACATATTGAATGAGATGTATTCCTTGGACTCAATCAAACCAGTGATGATGAGGTCCCACAATCAAAGTACCAAATTTGTAAGGTCAAAATATGAAGATGCACTAATTTATCCACTTTATGGGATACCCTCTGACCAAATGTATTATGTGTCACAGATTTTTGATGAATTAAATCCCTGTAATACATTTCCTCAGGGTAAAAAGGGATATGAGTCCTATGAAAAATACTTCCTGGAAAGGTATGGACTTGAAATCAAGGATAAGAATCAGCCCTTATTAGAAGCAAAACACATACCAAAGGAACTGAATTATCTGAAGAAAATTCCAAAGAAGACAAAAGAAAAGAAAGGGAATTTAGTGCCACACTTTGTACCAGAATTCTGTGGTTTAATTCCTTTAAGAGCATCATTATGGTGGCAGATTATGTGCATGCCATCCATCTTCCATCGTCTGAACAGCTTTAATTTGATGCATGAATTTATAACGGAAACAAAGATCACATCACCTGCTGTAAAGAATAAAGTTCTTGATTTCTCTTGGACTAGAAAATTTATTCATGAACTACTAGGCTCCTCAGAAAATGCTGTGCCAATATTCTTAGAGAGGAAGAAGCAAGAATACATTCATCCATTCAATATGCTACATGCATTCACACTTAAAGAAGCCAGTGAAGATAAAGACTTCAACTTAGAGAGACTTGAATTATTAGGTGACTCATTCCTCAAATTTGTCACAGGAGAAGCCCTGTTTCTAAGAGATGAAAGTTGTCATGAAGGAAGGCTTTCTCAGAGTCGAGGCAAATTGGTATGTAACAAAACCTTGTTTAGATTGGCATGCAAGAGAGGTCTAGAAGGAAAAATTGCTGCAAAAGTTTTCAACCCCAAGAAGAATGGATACATGCCAGGCTTTAGAATAAAAGTTGAATTTGAAGAAATCTTGCGGTCTCTTGAAGTGCCTCATGACTTCTGGCATCAGGTTCCCAACTCTGTAAAGAATGTTGGTGACTTAAAGGAGGTATGTATTACTGTGTTTTACTAGTAGACTATTTGTTTATGATGTTTAGCTGAGCTTGGCAAATGGTAATTACTGTTTTTTACTGGATTTTCATTGGGAATTGTTTTTAATGTATAGTCTGAATTCATTACTGAATGTATTTTCTGTGAGATATCCTTGTCATGCAACAACTGGAACACCTCTCAAAGGAAAGAAAGGAAGGAGAAAGTGTTGTTGCACTGAATTAGTAAAAAATGAATATGTGTAAAGAAATGATGAAAGCTAGTTTAGTTGTTTAGTTCTTTCTCATGTGTAAGCACTGGGATTAAACTGGGTTGCAAGCACAAAGATCAATTCTGGTCTCATTGTGTGTAACCTATCCAAAAAGGCTGCATTACTAGTCTTGCAACCATGGGACCCCAAATGTATAGCTTCAAGAGCTCCTGTTTTCTTTTTTTTTCTTTATTTCTTTATATTTCAAACAATTGTTTCTTTACAGTTCAAACAATTTGTCTTTGTGTACATTACCAATTCTCTGCCTTTGGCATGCTTCCCTTTTAAGCATCTGTTCAGACTTGCTGCCTGTGCCTGTAAATGGTAACTTTTATGGGCCTTTGGCCTGGCAAAAGAAAATAATAGAAAAAAGACAATTCCTTAACAGCATTAAATCCAAATGATGTAACCTTGTCATGAAAATAATTTAGCTAAGGGCTGGAGTGTTGAGAATGACTTGCCAAAGGTGCATAAAACACTTGGAGGAAGATTAAAATCAGTGGGCATTTAGGAAGGTAATCATGCATTATTCACCAGTAAATGTGTGTGGAATGTACCTTCTGCAAACTATGGCTAGAAGAGTACCAGACCCACACATGCACACGTGCAGACATGCACCCCCCACACCCCCCCTACACACACACACGCACGCACCCACCCACCCACCCACCCACCCACCCATCCAAACCCACCCAAACCCACCCAAACCCACACACACACACACACACACACACACACACACACACACACACACACACACACACACACACACACACACACACACACACACACACACACTCTCTCTCTCTCCACATACATACCCCACCCCCACCCCCCACACCCACCCACACCCCCACACCCCACACCCACACCCACACCCTACACACCCACACCCTACACCCACACCCTACACCCACACCCTACACACCCACACCCTACACCCACACCTACACCTACACCCCCACACCTACACCCTACACACCCACACCTACACCCTACACACCCACACCCTACACACCCACACCCTACACACCCACACCCTACACACCCACACCCTACACACCCACACCCTACACACACACCCACACCCACACCCTACACACACACACCCACACCCACACCCTACACACACACACACCCATACCCACCCCCACCACACATACCACACATACCACATATACCACACACCACACCACACCACACCACACGCCACACGCCACACTCCACACGCCACACGCCACACACACACACACACACACACACACACACACACACACACACACACACACACACACACACACACACACACACACACACACACACACACACACCCTGCACCGACCGACCCCACACCACCCCGCACGCACGCACGCACGCACGCACGCACCCACGCACCCACCCACCCACCCACCCAAACCCACCCAAACCCACACACACACACACACACACACACACACACACACACACACACACACACACACACACACACACACACACACTCACATCTCTCTCTCTCTCTTTCTCTCTCTCCTCCACATACATACCCCACCCCCACCCCCCACACACACACCCACACCCACACCCTACACCCACACCCTACACACCCACACCTACACCCCCACACCTACACCCTACACACCCACACCCTGCACACCCACACCCTACACACCCACACCCTACACACCCACACCCTACACACACACCCACACCCACACCCTACACACACACACCCACACCCACACCCTACACACACACACCCATACCCACCCCCACCACACATACCACATATACCACACGCCACACACGACACGCCACACGCCACACGCCACACGCCACACGCCACACGCCACACACACACACACACACACACACACACACACACACACACACACACACACACACACACACACACACACACACACACACACACACACACACACACACACACACACACACTAGCTATTGCTTATCTGTAACAATTATAAAAGAAAGGGTTAAAATATGTTTCGAGCAAGATATTTCCCATTCCTTTTGTTGAGGATTGATTTCCCTGTGTATTTGATTGCTGAACATTGGCTTTCTGTCTTTGTCCCTCTGTTGCAGCTTTGTCATCCTTTTTTAACAGCATGTGTGGATGGTTACAAATTATGTCCATGAATGTCTTGCTAAGCATCCTGTGTTATAGGTGAGTAATTAAAGAAGTTAAAAAGTTGTAGTATTTTAGTGCTTTTCACTCATTTGAAACTAGTATGTATCATTTTCATTCTTTTCTCCTTTACCCTTGTTCTTGTTTTTAATGTATTTTATATAAAATTATTTTGTTTTATTGAGGCTTTTAGAATAGTATGTTTCAGTTCTCAATCTTTCATTACCAAGTAGAATCTGGATCAAAAAGATCTGGATTATGTGAAAGAATAGTTATGCATGCCTTTGTTTCTACTCTTATGATTTTGATTTCGGTTTAACGTCACGAAACTCCCTTTTTGATCAAGGGCTAGGATGGGTTTGCTCTGTCAAAGGCAGGCAGGAATTGGCAGGTGGAGACTGTTACCCCGAGTGGATGCCTTTCCTAACCTTGGACAGTGGCTGGGATTCAAACCCGTGCGCTTGTGGACCCTCTGGCCCACAGCCGTGTGCATTACCACTGTACCACAGCGGCCCCCTTTGTTTCTACTCTTGTAGGGCAATCTAATTAAAGCAATATCTTTATAAAAAGTACATTCCCTGCAAAATTAACCCAATCACTACAGATTTATGTGCTGTTCCCTGTAGTTTTTTCTGTGAATTTTGTTACATAGAGATGGCTCCAGATGTGCTCAGCTGGCAAGGAGTCTATCAGTAGGCCCTAGTGACTGTGCCTGATCATTCCTTAACCCAGTTGGCATTGATGACAAGAATACATGCCATGATCACTGCAATTCAATTGTATTTACACAATAGATATTATTAACTTATTAGAATATTTGTAACTTTAAAGACAATGAAATAACACAAAAGAAACTTTTCAAAAATCAAGAAAAAGAATAAAAAAGAGTAAACAGGTGAGATAGATAGTACTAATATCTGACTCCACTGAGACTAAGTACTTGTAGAGCCATATATGTGTAAATACAATAAATCAATTTATATCACAGGGGCTTGGCATGCATTCTTGCCATCCATGCCAATTGGATTAAATGATGATCTTGTCGCAAGGCACTCCTATAGCTGTCACAGAAAAACAACTTGTCATAATTGGTATGGCCATAGGTGTCATGACTCGTTAAAGCCAATTGAGTGGAAGGTTAGATAGTTGCCAGAAGTCTCCGGAATAAGTGATACCCTGAAATTACTGATACCGGCATTGTAGGATTAATCTACTTTTAAGTATGATTATTATAAAGAAAGGAAAGTGTTCAGGATAAATCATCTTCATTTACGTTGCTTGGACAACCATTACTACCATCACAGCTACCAGTACAATCATTATCAACACCATTGGTATGATCATTATCATGACCAGCACCATTACCATTGCTATTACCAATATCAGCATCAGTATGCCAAGTTTATTTCCACCTCTGTAATTTCTGTGACCATCACTAGCACCTATGTTGCCATTATCACTGATATAGTCATCACCATTACAGATATTATCACAGTCATTATCAGTGTCACATCCACATAGGTAATATTCATTTTATGGTGCCCATGTTAGTGGATTGCTTTAATGTGTGTGTTGTTTAGTTTTTTTTTCTTTCTTTCTCTTCTTGCTTCTGCTTCATGGCTCACCTTTTTATAAGATTCAAAGTAACAGTATTTTTGAGCTAAGGCTTTATGAGCTGGTGAGCAGTTCTCTCTTCCCCTCTACTCCATCACATGCCTTTGCTTGTTGTTTTGGCCCTTCCTCACCATGAATTGATATCTTTGCTCTTCTTATGAGATGTTGACCTCAAAAATGGTCCAAAGAGGATATCCTGCAATAATGAAGAGAGCAAGAAGTAAAAAAAGGGCTAGAGTATATTGTTTGCTCTGAAAATATGTTTGACAGTATTTTGGCAGAATTATTGCAAAAACACTTGGTTTGCCATGCTCAACTTTGTAAGTATTCTAGGCAAGGAAGAAGACAAAGAAGACAATTAACCTGGGTTCCTAATAAATATCCTTAATGCAAGTTATTTTCATAAGACTTTGAATGAAAGGGTGAAGACTGTTGGCCATGTGGAATGAAGATCAGAACTGATGCAATGTTCTAATGAACCTGATGACAATACAGCATAAGGCAAAAATATTTTACAAAAAGGTAATTGAAAAAGAATGATATAAAGCACTAACTCTAAAGTGGCCTGTTAAGCAAAAATGCTATTTAGCAGTGGAAGAAAAGTGACAAGGATCCAAGATCTGTATAATTAATTTCACAGACCTTGAAGAGATCCTCACCTAGGGCTCTACTAGCTTGACATCTCTATGAATGGCCTCCTGTGCTCTCCTACAGTCACTCACCAATATTTTCTCTAACTTTGCAGTAAGCTTGGTATATCTTTCATGCATTATAGTCTGCAATAACTTACACAACTTGCATTATTTGTCTAAAGAGTTTTTATTTTATACAGGTTTGGACAGGAGGTTGGGGAATGAAGCTTATCTTTTTAAGTTATTTCCTATGGGAATAATTGTCTCAATATATGTTATTTCATTTTACAGTACAGATTCAGGAATGGAACTTGACTGTAAACTGAGGGTTACCTGTACCGGAATTATCACTGTCACTATTACTGACCATTATTATTATCACCACAGTCACCAATACTGTCATAAATATAACCAGCTACTTTATCACTATCATATTTGTAGTTACCATGCCTTTTATAACCATCAGTAGGACATTTGCCATTACCAGCAATATCACCAGTCATCATTACCATTGCCATTATCATTATCACCACAAGTTACCATTTCCATTGTCATTATTTTCACCATGACACTCATTACTATTACTATCATTATCAATTTCTCTGGTATCATTATCCAGTAGATACAACATCAAGAGGGTGAATACCTCCTTTTGCCAACAGGCAGTCAATGATTTGATGTCAGATGATGCATCCATGGATGATAAAGCAGAGAAAAAGGGGTCATGTTACAACCCATGGACAGAGCATGAGGTATCTGACAAGAGCATTGCAGATTGTGTGGAAGCCATAATTGGAGCCTACCTCCTTGTGTGTGGGGATGAGGCAGCAACCTCCTTCTTGGATTGGCTTGGAGTTGGGGTCTTCAAGGTAAGTAGAAAAGGGACGAGTGTGAATGGACTGTACAAGTTTCAAATGGGGATAGTGTGCTTGGCAATGAAGAAAAAGAAGTAATTGAGTGGTTTGAAGGTGATATTAATAACTGTTTTTGTATTTATGATTAAGATAAGATATTTTGGTATGTGTGTTTGCAGTTTAGCTAGAAATGAATGAGAATCTGCAAAATATGTCAGAGAAAAATTATTTGATATAAAAGGATAAAGTTCATCTTATCAAAGAGAAAATATCTGAAACAATAATAATTTTAAAAGTGAAATATGTATGACTTTCTTTGTATGAGAAATGTTGCAATGCTAATTGTTACTTTTGATGTAAAAAATAACAAGTAAGTATATAAACATGAGTAAGGTAGTTCTTGAATGATCTTCATTAGGTTGGTGTATTTATATTGTCGCACAGTAACAGTCCATTGCAGAAGAACAAAGATT